TAAAAATTTTCCATGCTGGTGCACAGGAAGCTTGGAAAAAAATAAATAATCTAAAGCATGTGTAGCAAGGCTTTTCAATAGAAAGAAATAAATGAAAAAGAATCTAATAAGAGAAAATTTAGACGATGAAAAGATTTGTGATCCCAGACTGTCTTGTGGCACGACCTCAATACGACCTAAAATAATAAAAAAAAGTGGGTCTATCAGATATGAAGTGAAACTCAATCACCCACGTTATAAAAAAGAAAGTTTCTATTTCAAAAAAAATTTCCCTCCCACAAACTTTCCTTCCCTCACTCCTACAAAATAAAACACACCCTAAACTGCACATATACACCAAATATATTGTAACTCCACGCAGCAAATATTCACTGTAAGCTGAGCTTTGTTGTTGAGTTCCTCAAAGGAAATGTAGCTTGCAAGGTGACAACATTACAGCATCGGCTACAACGGCTGCTATTAGCTGCTTTGAAGCTGTATATCAGACCACGCAGTATAAAATGTATCTACCACTCCCTCCAAGCTTCCAATGTACAGTTCAATTTCATAGCTGAAGCAACCATCCGGATAAAATTTTAATTTGACATTAGAGTTTGATAAAGGATATGTGATGACTTCTAAGCACGTCTCAAATAGGAAATCACTTAATCTTTTTTGATAGATAAAAATAATTATATAAAAAAAAGAGTTTGTCTTGCAAAGGCATGCTTACAAGCCAGCACAAAACCATGTTTCTCACTTTTTACAGTGTCAACGTTCAATAATGGAAACAAAATTATTTATCAGACAACACAGCATTCAGCGGGACAAGGCCAGCATTGCTTGTAGGCCAGCAGGCAACAAAGCAACTTCACTTACAAAGTTTTCATAGTAGAATGATCCCACTGACTTCATATCCATCTGAAAAACAAGAACAATAACATCTAATGTCAGTTTTGTAGTTTGCTTATGGTTCAGTATCACCTTGCTCTCACAGCAAAGCTCGCTTACAGAACTTGATGTCAACATGACTAACTACAAGGTGATCATTGCTGTTCTTTAATCTTGGGATTCTTGTGCAGCTACATGAAATTTGTCTCAAGACAAAGCTAGTATAGGTTGACTTTGACTCAAGTTGAGTCATGTGAAAAGGTGTGAGCTGGTAGAGGTAAGTAGACAGTAAAACTACACAAGGAAAGGGATTCCTTCAAAATAAAAAAAAAATAAGTAAAAAAAGACTATTGAAAAACCTCTCCATCAAATTTCAATAAGCTGATCAAAGAATCAGAACAACCATGCAGAAAAATGTCCATAAGACTTTTAAAAAACAAACTTAACTCTGACTTCAACAAAGGTACAATTAATTCTCATAATAAATTTACAATTAAAAATACCACTGGAAGTTCAGAGAAAAGTTTTTGAATTAGACAGACATAACAAGAATACAAACATACTGAGGGGAAGTCTAGCATATGACAATTAAACAGTTACAAGCTTTCTTAAATTAATGTTGCCTTGGATAGATACAAGTTTGAAAAGATGCAAAGATGGAATAGAAAACAATGAATGTAACGGAAATAGCTTGAAACTAGTTTCATTAAAAAGTCCTATACTACAGTCACATGATGCTAGACTTTCCCTGATAAAAGGACAATTGAATTGAGGACTATTCACTCATGTTTTAAAGAGAAGAAAATTAAGGTAAAAGAATTAACTAAAAACAAAGAGAATAATAGTGCTAAGTTATTAATGCAGCTGCAGTGAATAAAATCATCCGTATACCAATCACCTATGCAAATTTAAGACTATGTATGTATTATCATACGACAGTGAGATGGCATGCAAAGACTACACTTCTTGAGAGCATTGCCAGATACTTGTCTGAATAGGCTTACAGGTATAGTGTAGTGCCTCAAAACGTATCGACAATAAACTCTCATGAAAAGTGTTAATCTACTAATAATTTACAAAGAGAATTACTGAATAGAGAATAATAAAGAAGGCATGCAAAGCATAATTGTACCATTTGTATCATGTCATCGCTTGGGTCACGTGAGCGCTTCTTGCCCACATCCTGTGGAGCGCCTACGTTTGCCATGGCAACTCCAGGCTATTAGTGGCGTCGTATGGCATGGCATTCAGGCAGGGCAGGCAGCGGCACACAAGCAGCAGCAGCAGCCAAGCCAACGGCAATGCATTTGCCAGGGCAGATGGGGCAGATGGGGCAGGGTGACCAGACGAGCCAATGGACGGCAGGGCAGATGGCAGGGGCACGGTGGACAGACATAAAGCAATAGCAAACCAAAATGTAAAGATATGTCACATACACATGACAGTAAAATTAAATGTTACAAGCTGCACATAATAATGAGTGGCAAAATAAAATTAACAAAAGATAAGGCTAAGCAGAGGTGTTCATTTGTCATATTATCCCTTTAACTTCCACTGGGAAAATTCAACAGAAGCTATAAAATACATGGCGTGTCAGCTTTCACAGCAAGTGGAACATGCATAAATGGCATAAAAATTTTCCATGCTGGTGCACAGGAAGCTTGGAAAAAAATAAATAATCTAAAGCATGTGTAGCAAGGCTTTTCAATAGAAAGAAATAAATGAAAAAGAATCTAATAAGAGAAAATTTAGACGATGAAAAGATTTGTGATCCCAGACTGTCTTGTGGCACGACCTCAATACGACCTAAAATTTAGAAACATATAACACCTAATCTCGCTGTTGAAGTATGAAAATAAAAATGCTCTGTGCTCAAGAAATGTTAAGATTTGAGTACAGCCTTTACTACTATAAGCAGCTCTTGTAAATTTTATATGAGTAAAAAAGATCCACTCTGCAAAGAAGTGATTAAGTTAAAGTTCAAAACAACAGTTTCAATGACACACTTGTTATTCCCTGCACAATCTCCACACAATCTGAAAAGAAAAAGGTAGTACCGCTGTTCCTCTAAATAGAAAAGCTCGAGTTGATGACGAAGGAAAACTGCTGAAATAATAGACATTGCAGAAAAAAAATTCAATGTCAACAACATAGACAGGATCTATTTTCAAAGAAAACAACTCTCTCTTTCTTGTTTCCCAGAACATAAACAAGTCACCCAATGAGTTGTATCTAATTAAACCCCCCAGTCTTAGCTTCAAGAATATACTTCAGTTCACTTACAAATGGCAGCATTATTAAAAATAAATCCTCAGTGCTAAATGCCATTAAGTTGCAGTTTACAATTTCATCATTGAATCATATCTACTAACTAAGAATGCAAATGCTTAGTTCTGCATGCTTGACGTTAGCATTCTCATGGTAAAAGGCTAAATAAAACTTAATAACTTGTAGAATATTTTCTACAACTTATGGAACAGGTGCGTATGTATTAAAATTAATTTCTCAGAGATGCAATAAACAATGTGCTAACATTCATTAATAAAAAATAATTGCTAAGTTAAACAATGAAAGAAGGACAATCTCTTTTCCTCAAATTTACAACAAGATTGAAAATAGAAAAGAGAAGCAACAGATAAAATAAAGGTACCAAGCATGCATGGTGTATAGAATATTTAGCATAAGGGAGATCTACAAAAATGTTCTGAGAGTAAATACAGACTAATGAAATTGTGTTGAACAGAAAACAGGTGGTATCTACTTTAAAGTTTGAGGATTTTGTATGAAAACATAAAAATAAATATGTATTTCATAATAATTAGTTTTTGTTCTCCCTTAAAATTTACTACATAACTATGCATGATCAATTCCTCCTTTAATGTTTGTGTTTCACAAATCCACCTGAATTTGTTCAGAACATAACTTTAAGATTTTGGAGGAAAAGAAACTGGAGGATAACAATAAAAACGGCCATGCATGCCTCCACAAACATAGGAAATACCTTCATCTATTCAGATATTAGGGGTAAGTTATTTAAGTGCAACTTTTTGTTAAAGAAGTACCACTTCTGCTGAATGCACCACCAGAAGAAACCAAATCATCATGGCATAATGTGAGTTTCTGCATATACCACTAATCACAATCCAAAAAAGAAATGGCCAAATGCAAACCCCTATTTACCGCTCGTATCTGAATGTAAATTGTTATAATTGTTGAATTAGTGTAAACAGAAAAAAATATTAAAGAAGTTTATAGTTGTCAGTGTCTGTGAAAGCAAAGTGCAAAATGATGGTGGGATCAGAGAATCAGATAGAAAGAAAGAGCGAGAGAGGAAGAAAGAGACGGAGAGGAAGAGCAGATCACATGGAGAGGACTCTGAAAGGATTATGGTATGCAAGACAGCAAACAAAATTTTCAAAGCAGATGCAGAACATTGAGGCACGTTTCATTAAGTATGTATTTAAAGAATATATAGGAGACAGCAATCCCTTGTGGATGTGACAAAATTTACTGATATAGTGGAGTTCACATTAAAATTTGTGGTTTGCTTGCTCTTCAGCGCTTCAGCATTATGCAACAAAAAAAAGCAGCAGGATGAGGCAATATTATTTCCACTTGGGTCACTCCAACTGACTTCAGGAAATAAAAATGGACTGTAAGGGATTACCATTGGAAAGTCACAAATATTAAGGCAAGTAAATGCCCCTTGAATTTGAATTTCCTGTCCTAAAAAGAGTAATTACAAATTACAAAGAAGGCTATTAATGAATGAAACTAAATAATCAGGTCTATAAATTGCAAATTAAAATATACACTACAGAAGGGTTTGCAAAACTAATCAGTAAGCAAAAGTATGGAATGAAGGGCATCAGAAAAGTAAATTGGTTATAGCAGAACATAAAAAGGAGGAGAAACAGGCAGAAGATAGAAAGATAGATAGACTGACCAGAAGATAGGCAAGGAAAAAATAATAAAACAGACTAGATAGACAGGCAGATGGCAAGACAGACAGGTAGATACAGATAAATGGATGCAGATGGCTTCTGCTGAAGACTGTCCACATCTTCATGACTGTGACTGTAATGGCTCTCCCTCACAATTTGTTTTCTAACATTTCAATCTGTGAACATCCCTTCTCACGGATTAAAGGTACGCAATTCATAACAGAGACAAACATTTAGTAACACAGGGATGCGGTTGTTTTCTATTCTGACGCAGTATGTAGGTGGTTAGCAAAATAAGAAAAACTGGCAACATATGAGGGGTTGCAAAATATGAGCTAAATGAGCAACATAAAAAGCTCAAGAATATAGAGAGGAAACAGGCGATTATGCAACGGCGAGAACGAATTTATTTTGCATTCTGTTTCGAATTCAGAAAGCCTTTTGACCACGAAGATAATACAAATAATAGAAATTAGACAAAACTTCGCACTTGTGTCGGGGAGAGACATGGTAACAAGCCAGGCAGAGATGAGGACAGTTTTTAAATAGCAGTAGTCATCGTAAACTAAAAGACAAAAAGAGCAGAGGAGAGAAAAGAGAGGCGAGGATGCCTACCGCGGTGGGGCGCGTCTGTGCAGCCTTGATATAGGCTTGGAGGTGCAGAGGGGGGTGGAAATAGCGGCAAGGGTCGCGGCTGCAACGCCCCTTCACGGCATCCATGCAGACCGTAACTGTTCCGTCCTCGGAGGCCGTCACGGCTTCTGGCGGGTGCGCGAAACGACACTCGCACTCAGCACGCTTGCACGCGCCGCGCTGGAATTCTCGACAGACCTAGGGGATACCACAAGCAGGCTACAGCTGCGGCCAAGGACCGGGGTGGAGAGTCATGATATATAATATGATGGGTATCGATCATGATGATATGACGTATGATGATATGATATGGTCATGAGGGTGGGGAGGAGGGTGGTGGGTTGTGATGGTGGGGGTGGTTGGTGGTGGCGGTGGTGATTGTGGAGGTGTCGCAGGGCAATGAATGGGAGCATGACAATGACCATGAATGATAATGATGGGAACACTCAAAGAATTATTCTCCTGTCTATCCATATCTCTTTTTTGATCCAGTACCATACACACCATCATCTACCTAAGAAGCCACTCAGTTGCCTAAACTTGCCAATAAACTTTGGAGACCCCGTCAATGATCACTTATTTTAATTGTTTTCTGACATTTTTTTACTCTAACTTTGAATCTTAGGGCTGCTAAACTGTATCTGTATCTCTCCAAGTACCATAGGTACAAAAACTATTGTCCAAAGGAAAGAACCTCACATGGGGTATGGCAATGCGCATCCCTTAGTTTCCTGCACTCTGTGTACTCTCCACATTAACATGACTTTACTCCCAATTGGGAGGGAGAAGCACACAAAACTCTCCATTCTTGACGTTACTCAACAATACATTATGTTACGTACAAACTTATGATGTTAAAGTTGGAAAGTCCATTCAGAACAGAAAAGCATGCCACACCTTTTTTTATAAAATGAAAAACTATCAAACATAAGGTTAATAGAAATTGTTAATAAAAATTATTTCACAGGTGATATCTTTCAGACATCTGGTCTCAGGGGGTATCTATGGACTATTTTATCACCAATGACTCAAAGAACAGACTAAATCTTTGCTGGTGAAAAGGAAACTATATCAGAATCATATGTTCCACTCAGCAGGCAACTCATCCAATTACTTCCATCTGTTTGAGGCATGTTCCTGTGGAGGTTGAACGCAGGAAGCGGCAGGATTCCAAGGGAAAGCAAGAGGCCAAAGGGCGCAAAGTGCATTGCAACACAGCGGGCTGCGGGAGACAGAGTGGCAGAAGAAAGACAGAGAAGCTAGACAGAGAGTGTAGTTTAGCAGCAGTGAGCTGGCAAAGGACTAATGCCAAATCAGTCCGGGCATTGTGCCAGAAAACTCTTCCTCTTATTTTTCTCCTCATAAAGCGTGACTTGGCAAATGTGTTTTGCAGTGTATTCCTGATTTATAATTTTCCTTTCATATTAATGAAGAAATGGTATATCTTAAAGTACATAAACAGATGACTTGGCATAGGTTGGTGGTTTGTTTTTTACTCTAGTCAATAAAATTTAATGGGTTTGACTCAATACAAGCTCCCAGAAAGCTAATTGCACATTGCATTAATTTGCTTACTTACTCCTGTTGCCCCCCCCAAAATTAAAAAATAATAAAACAACGACAACAAAACAAAATGAAAGCA